GTGTAACTCGTCAGTCTTCGTTTGCTTCGTGTCCTCGATTGCTTTGCCAGTGATGGCATTGTGCACTGGAACTAACATGCTGCTTTTGCGTTTTCACCTAGGCGACCGTGTAAAATTAGTAAAACCGATTTGTTTCCGATGTGATCGACGCGGCTAATAAACCACTAGAACTTGTAGCTGAATTGCTAGCAGTAACGGTGGACCAAGTTACATTGATGAGCCTTTTTATAGCGCTATTTTAAGCACTGGTTATTGTGTCCACGCAGGTAATGAACTCTGGTGGGAAGATATTGTCCTTGGGGGTAACATTAAACAAAATGCGCAGGGTATTGTTTTCATACCGACGCAACTGAGCTCGGATCAAACATAATTAAGACTGCAGCGCCGTGGTGACTATCATGATCTTATGTGCTTTGGATGCAACATTTTGCCATCTGGTGAAGTCTTTTAACTAGCTCACTAACATATCGTGCATCATTAAATTGAGAAACTACAGGACAGCCGTGACGCTGAATATTCTTTCGGAATCTTAAAATCCTACGCCGTGCGTTCTCCATACTAGTTTGTGATCCGGATCTTTGATGTTAATGATAATGGTACGTTTTCAGATATGTCGAAAACCACAGTATTCCTCGAGCACCCAATCCTGGTGAAAAAGTTGCTGATATAAGCACCAGTTGATTTATGGTGATTTATTCAATAAAGTCCACTTAATCTTATTTAATTTTGTCCCAAGAACATTCAATGATCTAAGTTTATTGAACGTATTCTCATAAAGGGAATAAGCGATTAATTTTCTTTTGATTTCTCTGAGTAGGTAGTAACATCAACAATTCACATAGTTAATCCCTCCGGGTTTTCTGTGCAACATTTAGATACGTTCTTCCTTCTAGATATTGTAGACATCAAAGCAGCAGAAATATGACAAAACTACATACTAGAATTTACATCTAATCAGTATTTTAAATGGCTAGCTAAGGAACTACATGGTTAGTGACACCTGCCTAGAGTTAAGCTAAACGAAATCCAATCATAGATGGCAATTTCGTGGAATCCTAACGCAGAAAGCGTCATGATAAGTTTGACTTTGCAGATGGAAATGCGCCTTTTACGCTTTTGTGGATGAAAACCTTACTATTCGACAAATCTAACAACTTGATCCGGCAACGCTGCTACGCATACTTATCACATGAGTAAACCATACCAGACCCGATGTGGGCACCTACTTTACTGCGGAAAATAGGATTTGACTACTTTCGGCAGAACATGCATTAAAAGCGGCACCAAAATGGTTGGGCATCTAAGTGATCGTTGTGTTGGATAATCACATATCTATTTGTCACGAAATTTACAGTTTCGATAAATGTAACAGCTGGCATTTACGATAGTTGTGGCATGTGATTTGATATACCAGCTGCAGTAATCTGAAATCCAGAGTATGAATAAAGCACTTAAGTGGATCATAAAGTTCCACTTACTTTGTTAGTTGGTAATCGATGCGTTATGTAATGCGAAGGGATTTAACTTGCTCTTTAACAAGGAATCTAACTCAATCGATAAATTCCGCAACACTTTGAAGACCAGACTGTACGTCTCGTGGCAACTCTGCACTCAATGTGACGAACGGGGCAGTGATCAGCACTCAACAGAAAAATAATGCAATCGCGGCCTTCTAAAGCAGGGGTCAACCAACTATGTCCATCCGACTGTACCCGAATCATCTTGATAAATCGTACGTCACACAAGACGCTGTGACATTATATCTCACAGTATCAGTGACCTTACATTGCTTGAACACTTGCCTGAGTCATTGCAGATTTATTACAGGTACGAGGGTACTACTGTACAAGTAGTGACCCCACATCGTTGGAACAATGTTGTGAGTAAGCACGCATGAAACCAATTCATCCGTGCATCCTAACGTGTTTTTGTTCACCTCACAACTTTGTGACGCAATATAGGAATAGGTTAGAGTACTTACAGCACGCGTAATATGACAAGACACTAGTTTATACATGTGTCAATTTGAAGCCATAATTTGAATAAATTGCAGGATATGGAGTTGCGCTAAAAACGCAAATTGTTGAGGCTGATACATTCTGTTAATGTTAACTGCATGTTCCCTAATGGGCCACGCTCCATTTTTGCAGACATTTCAAATGAATTTTTATTTCATTTGTTATTCAACCTCTTTAGTTTGTTCGAACCTCATTAATTCCAGCCTTTACTAAAGCAACGGAGAACAGAAAAGCGTATACCGGGTGTCACGTTTTCGTTGTCTTTTTTTCTCAGAGTTTTCATTCTGACTTAAAATTATGGGGTATAGTCTATCATGGGGCCCACCATAATCGCTTTATTAGTTTGCCGGCCCGCGTTGGTCATTTTTCCAGTAATGCGGCCTGTGCCAATCAGTTTTTCTAGTTATCCGGATCGTCGTGAAAAAATTTTGGTGACCCCTCTTCTAAAGGTATTTACAAAATAATAAAATATCCAACCAATTGTCTTTACGGATTTGGTTCATTCTCTGGCAGTAGCCACTCCCTGGAAGCAACGCTTTTGCCCTATATTCTAGTAACTGATAACCGAATGCCCACCAGATGTTGCCTGGGAAACATTTACAAGGACGTTTAGTACACTGGTAGCGCACGCATCAGAGCAGAAGACCATCCACCCTAAAAACAAGCGTAATTCATTTCTGAGGAGCAGGACACGTAAATGTATGTCCCGGAGGGATTTGGCATGGCGAGATCACCAGGACTGCCCGAATGCCGAAACCTGGACTGCATACGTGACCCATCGTAACTTCTGTGTGAAGCTGATCCGCGAAGACAAGGTCACTCATCAGCAGAAGTTAATGAAGCGATTCTGCACGAATCGCAAACTCCTGTACAGGCACGTTAACGGCCTTCGAAAGGTAAAGCGAGGGGTTTCAGCACTAGTCACGGCTGATGGGTGCACGCGATCAGCAATGGAAGCAGCTGATCTCCTACGGCTTCATTACTCCCGAACTTTCCAGGAGGCACCGAGCACAAACATTCCCCTCATTCCTACTACTCCACAATCTGGCTTAGAAAACATCACCTTCACTGCGGAAGCTGTGTTGAAGAAGTTGTTATGCTTGCGTATCCACAGTTCTCCTGGAGCTGACAACATCCGACCAAAGGCTCTCCAGGCAGTAGCTAGTGATCTAGCAGCACCACTGGCTATTTTCTATCAGCGATGTCTAGAGGAGAACCGTATTCCACCAGTATGGAAGCGAGGGGTCATCACTCCTATTCATAAAGGAGGTAGCCGCACTGATCCTGCCAACTACCGTCCAATAACACTACTTCCAGTACTATCCAAAGTGGTGGAATCAATCGTCGCAGATGCGCTGATGGAATACCTGGAAAGCCACAATTTAATAGCCCCAGAGCAACATGGCTTTCGTCAAAAGCATTCGTGCAATACCAACCTATTAATTGCACGTAATAGCTGGACTGAAGCTGTTGATGATGTAGTAGGGGTCGATGTCATCTACCTAGACTTTTCAAAAGCATTTGATCGCTTAAACCATCGCATTCTCCTTCAGAAGCTTCGGAATTACGGCATTGGCGAACTAATCCTGAGTTGGATTGACAATTTTCTACAAGAACGAAGGTTAGTGGTGAGAGTCCGAGAATCATTGTCTGATGCAATCGATGTGGCGTGCGGAGTACCACAAGGCTCGGTTCTTGGACCTCGTCTATTCTTGGTGTTCATTAACGATTTGGCGAGATCAATCACTTACGATTTCCTATTTTTCGCTGATGATATCAAGATATGGCGAAGCATCAGAGGACCGGAAGACCATGAACGACTCCAGTGCGATCTTAACACAGTGTCGAACTGGTCACTTCAAAACGCCCTACCGTTCAATGTAGACAAATGTCGCGTCGTACAATTACGCCATCGTCATAACTATACCTATTCACTTGGGACCAAAGGACTGCAGAATAGCTCCCAGGAACGTGACCTAGGTGTGATCGTACAGAGCGACCTCAACTGTTCAAAACAGGCTGAGGTTGCTGCGAAAAGAGGCAACCAGCATGTCGGCATGCTGCGAAGAGCATTCGGGAGATTTGACCCATCAATCTTCCCAATGATGCACAATTCCTACGTGCGCCCGCATCTGGAATACGCTATCCAAGCTTGGCAACCTTGGTTGAAGCGGGACCTAGAAGCGATAGAGGCACCACAACGGAGAGCAACAAAAAATGTGAAGGGCCTGCGCTATCACTCTTACCACCGAAGGCTGAAGTTGCTGGGAATTTTCAGCGGGCGCTATCGAAGACTGCGCGGTGATCTCATATTAGCGTATCAAATATTGAGTGACCCAACCACGTATGCCGCCATTTGCTGAAACTTAGCCACAACACGCAGCTCACGGGTAACTGCTTAAAGTTGAAGGAACACTATATCTGTCTAGAGTGTCGACGGAATTACTTTTCCCTTCGGGTTTGCAAACCTTGGAACGCACTCCCAGACTCAGTTGTATCCTCTCCTACCCTGGATGTTTTCAAAAAACGATTAGATGTCGCTCTTAGCTCCCAACATTTTGTTACCTAAACTCCCCTACTGTGGATTACGCCAAGGATGCATTACAACAGGATTTATGTATCAAACGGATCTAAGTGAGCGACCATATTTTACTTTGCTCACTCTTTACCTCAATGATCACTGCACCCCAGTGTCTTTCTGAACGTTTACGCTCGATAATTTATTTTAATTTTACACTGATGTTACTTATCAAACTATTCATCTCGGCAGACGTTCGGTAGATGACCCAGACATATTTTGATTTCATCATATTCACCTCAACCATCCTACGGGACGTGTCAAGCACTTGCTTTTATCCCGTGATAAATCATTGTTCATTGTTCATTGTTCAATACTTTGTTCCAGGGTTCACTGATTTTTGGAGCTATCACAGGAATTTAGAATTTGCACAAATGGAGAAAGATAAAGCTAGTCTCTTTCTTATGTTTCAGTTTCTTCAACTCAGTCTGGTGCTTTGTGTGCCTTCGTTGATGTTTAGTCAAGGTAAGCAGATTCTTCAGTGGCGCATGTAAAGCATTGCTTAAATAATTGGGTTCATGTCTATCATCCTTCTCGCTGGTGGATATATTCCTCGAAACTGTCCGTATCTACCAATGTAAAACATTCATTGGCAAATGTATTTGAAAGTTCCTATTTATCCACTTGTTGAGTAGAAATACGCTAGAAAACAGTTGTTCTCCACAGTAAGCATTGATATTTTTAAATAAATGTCACTTGATCTGACTAAATGGCTGTTAGCTAACCTCAACATTAGAGGACCCGAAGTAGAAACTTGACAGAACTCCTAAAATATCCTGGTGGTTTTGTTATACATGTCAATCCATGTCAACCATGCCTGATTTTTTTGTCATTACTGTATTCATAACTTAGTCATGTTATGGTACGCCATAGATTATAGAAGAGCAATGGATGAGGAATGGTGCAGTATTATCCTCTAGAAGCTACCAAACTAACAAACCTTTAAATAAAGTTTCGGCTGAGCCAATACAGTCTACTGGCATACAATAGCACAAAGAGCGGTAAGATTGGCCATAATAAACCAGATTCGCTTCTCGGATTGGGCGGGCAACGTTCACTATCCATCTAGTTCATTAGTTATGCTCTCAGTGATGAAAGTGACAAAGATTTGCTTCATTGGGAATCGAGGTCCTGTTGATATAGCAAGTCAAAATCCGTTCACATAACCAGTGGTTCTAAATGACCCTCCAATCACATTGGCTAGTTCATTAAAACCGTGCCAGGGAGACGTGCTCAATTCTCCATGCTGTGTTGGTTACTTATTAACAGATACGTGTTCGAATGCTTAGAATTAGGCCAAATTGAGTAACATTCACCACCATTATATGAGTGGAACTTTACACGACTCTTTTTATTCCTGTACATGCTATTTGCCAGTTCCGTTTGATAGAGCGTCTAACCAGGCCATCGATGCGGGCTTAAAAAGTGCCGCGTGTGATGTCCTTGTGACTGCAAACTCAGATTCCATTTTCATCATTGAGGATGGCCGTTGTCTGTACAGGGTGCCACTCAATATTATGATAGGGTTTAATCACTATGTTGTGCAACAATGAAGAGCAGCGGTTTCAAGCTCCAGTTTCCATTACCTTGAACGATGGTGTAAATGCCTGAATGAATTGTTTGTGTTTCTTTGCTTCATGTCAAATGACGCCTGAAGTGAGACCAAGGCAGCATATAGGATTCGTTCCCATTCCAATGGGCACAGAAATAAGCAATCAGCAGGCAAGATATGTTCCACTGATGCAAAATCTTTTTTCCATCATACGTCATACATAAGTCAGCACACTGGATAGCAAGCATTAGATTTGCACCATTCAGATGTGAAAAAATTTACCCAGATGAGTGACGCGACAACACACCTTAGGGCTATCAGCAACCGAGTAGCTATTGCCTGTATTATTGCTGTGCTACTTATAGAAGCTCGCAAAACTTTCGAACGTGGTTCAATCAGGGATCATATGCTTAGGTGATCGAGTATTGTTGTGGAAACTTGACGCCTATTTCACGCATCGAACGCTATATGCACAAGAGAAGGTCTTGTCGCTCTCTGGTTTACAACCAAACATGTTTGTTAATGGTACACAGACCAAACGAACCTGCACTCTCTACATACTCCTAGGCAACTAGTCACCGAAAGACCAAACGGACTGCGTAAGCACAAGACTATCAGGGACAAATATGTGTCAATTCATTGTTTCCAGCTTTCAAAAACCAGTTTGACCTATAGTGTACGTGGCATGAAATATAGACTGTCCCGGAATGAGGCAACCAGCAGTGTCCGTTCGTCGTCCGCTTGGTATGGCCCAGATAATAAACTTTCGTTCCATGTAACCCTTGTATATAGCAACCAAGTGTAAATCATACACCCACAAGTTTAAACGAAACTCATCGAAACAACAGCGAGTCGATTCAAACAGATTTAACTCTCATGGTGATATTGCATCTAATCTATGAGCACCACATTTCATCAGGTACGGGTTATCCAACCTGGATGGCTGTTACAATGTTCGGGATTCTTGGCGCAACCTATTCTGGACTGGTAAGTGAGGCACTGTGCGTTACAGTGAAATATAGTAATAAGGTTTTTGTTGCGTGTATGCCTATTTTGTTGCATTTAAATTACAATCTAGACTTTTTCGTGTAACGGATCCAGTTCAGCCTGGTTGCAAAATACTTTTCCTAATAAACCAATACTACTTACAAGGCAAACATTTTTCAACATATTATCCACTTGCTACCGGTTAGCTGATGGCCTGCGACTGACGAGCAAACTGTTTACCTAGCAATCTGCGGCTAGCTACTCAGCTAAAACAATCCTTAAACTGCTCCACTTATAAGGCTACAGTAAGTTACAAGATCTTATGCCACATCTTTGACCAAAAGAATGCTTTGGTTCTGTACATTTTTCCGGATTATTTCATATCCAGTTAACGAGTGGTAGGTTAGAAGCTCAGCGACTTCAAATATATACTGACTTTGTGTTTAAACTGGAAAAGGAAATGGCTCTTACTAAAGATGTGGAACAGGAAAGTAGGGCTAAGCGAACTGGGAATTCCGCCAAAAAAGTTCCTAGGAGTAACCATTTATTCCGAGTGAATGTCCAGTCGGTTGCATTAGTAGACACAGAATACTGGCGGAAATAATGCCACTCAGGAATGGAACTGCTTTGAATGGTTCGACATTAAGTTGCCCGCCTTCAACAAGGATTCGTTGCAACCTCAAATTACTCGTTTCATACTAATACTTCTAATTCAACTGGTTGAGTGGGCCATCCTGTCCTAGATATTACCCGTCGATTTGCTTAAAACTTTCCAGGATGCCTGTAGTGAGAAGACATTAATACATTACGAAGCATGAACAGCGAGCGCAACAAGCAATGAACACTTTTGACCTCTGGTCTACAGGGCGTATGTATTACTTAGAAAAGCCACCTAGATCAATCGAATTGTTATCAACTGAGAAGAGATTTTAAAACCATCTTATCTGCGTTTGTGTGTATAAATTCAGAACGAGTTAACAACGATCAACCTACATGTTCGTTACTGGAAATGTTTTACTGTCAAACCTAGACATCGCGTTTCTATTGGTAGCGTCTTGCGGTACATATTCCACCGACGTCCAACCCATAACCAAATGGGCTCATATGATGCAATGATGTTTGGACTGCAGCAGTACTCTGAGATCGCGGATTAAATTGCCGCTAACCAGAAAGTAAGCTGAAGCCATATAGTACCGGCTTTTGGCTCAACCAATTTCATTGAAAATATCGGAAACTGCGGGTTACAACAAAATTGGCTGGTTCTCAAAATACCTATGCCCAGCTTAATTATAAAAAGATGGTTAAGGATTTGTGACTACTTTCAAATAATTCTAAATATTTTCGGGTTCCTGTAGAAGATTAATCTCGCCTGTGGTTAGTCTGCAATAAAACAGTTCTCACAAACAGTAGTCGAGCTGCAGAGCTCGTTTGGTCAGCAAACTGTTTGCAAAATAAAAATAATTTGTACAGTTCAAATTGGTGCCATAAATAAGTGTATTGGAGACACGCAATGCATGATAATGAAATTTTATCGTTTAGCATCGTACAAGCTAACATCGTAGTCAAAATGCATCGTTATCATATCCATTCTCGATGGTCCAAATAGAAGTTATTCAGAACGCTGCACTATTTCTTCCAACTATTCTTCTATAATCCAACGTTGTGACCGGTAATCCGACACGAAGCACACTGCTCACCTCTAATCCTGGTCTCACCGGTGGATTCTTTTAAACCATTCGTCCAATGATTATGCAAAATGCAAACCCAGGACCTCTGTCAAAAAGCTGTTAGCGATTGAAGTATTCGTAATCGGTTATGACATCAGTATCAAGCAATATTTGGCTGTGACAGAAACCCGTCTGTTTCCTCCATTTAACTCTCGATGGGTGTTTGTCCCGAAAACACTTGCGATAACGTAGTTCGGAAGTTAAATTAAAGTCGAAAATTGGCCAAGAAATGCAACTTTGGATTCGCCCTGGCGTGAAGTCCACATGAACCAAGTTGGTAGGATTTGGCCTTAGATTCCAATACGAGTGCGTCCTTAAGCATTCACATGTTGCGCGCGCTGACATAAGTGGCAGAGTTGCATCACACGCACGGACTCATGCACGCTATGTCTATAAAAGAAAAGGTTTCAGATGAAGTGCCATCTGCTTGGGTACGTAGGGCACACACAACATGCGCCCCCAGAATGCTTTGCACCCGTGGAAGTGTAACCTCCAGTGGGAGCTAACAATAATTATGGTAATGGACAGAGAATGGTGGTGTAAATCCTCCCAGTGACTAGGAATGCATTTGTCTACATTTGACTTAAGCACCATTGGAATCTGTTATACTTCATGCGTTTAATAGTTGGATGCTGATAAATATATGACATACTTAGTACATTACGTATTAAAGCGGTCTTAAGTTAAGCATTGGTATGGGGACCGTGAATCCAATTCCTACACAACTTGCGTCAATCCTCTGGCAACAGCTGTAGAAACAGTGGCCTCAGGCAGGAAGTTGAGTAGTGCAAAGTCGTATCAGACCCACCGCGTGGTGTAGACATTAAGTATGTACACAGCGCTTGAGGGCCCTCATGCAGTTCGGACAGCCTCATCTGTCCAAAAGATGACCCATATATGTACGTATCCGTAAAACATTGCATCGGTTGTAGCTACTGCGATTCTACTCGCTGCCGGCGTTGCATCCACTGCGGGTTTCCTCATTGCTTGAACTACTCGAGTACAGATAAATGAGGTGAAGTTTGAACCCTGGACACAATTGTTCGTGGGTGACGTCTACAGCAGTAAGCCATTGCAGCCACTGAGTTTGCCTGGTTCCAACAACGATGCATGTTGAGTTGCGTCATGACGACTTAGACCAGAACATTCAAGAAAAGAGGAACACAGGTTCAACGTGGTCTGTTAAACGGAGTGTAAATAAACACATTGGGCAGCACAACACACTTGACTAATAATTGGGTGCCATTATTACTGGACGGCCAAATAAGAATTGTCGGGTCGAACTGGACCAAGAATAATTGGGCTAGCCTAATGGGAGCGCGTAGTCGCAGGAATTTAATAATCATCCCTCAAAAGGAAGCGTATTTGCCCTAATGCGCCATATAGTTTCGTGTTATTCACTGGTGGGATGCTTAACAGACGCTATTTGAAAACAATCGTACCACAGTTGCAAGTTGGTGTCATCTAAACCAAGAGTATATCGTGTTATCATTGAGATTGGTTTTGTCCACCAACCTAAATAATCCCAAACTGACCGCAGATTAACACTTGGGTAACTGATGGTCGTTGTGGTCATACAAACTAGTGATGGATGTAGTGGCGTAATCAGCGATGATGGGCACGTCCAGGTAACCTGAACCGTGATCATGCGTTCGCTCCAACCCCCGAATATAATGGCAACTTAAACTTTATGCGAACGGTCGAGCCCAAATATAGTTACCATTCTGAATGGGTCAGGTTATCGTACATAAATCATATAAGAGCAAATCATGGATACAAAACCATATTGCGTTGGTGGTTAATTATGTTCCAGTTATACGAGGCGATAAGTCTACATGAAATTGATAACTACCCTACTGGGCAGAGCTTTCACACCAGTGCGCGTTGGTTCAGCTAGCCTGAGTCACCGAGTCAGTTTGGCTCATCTGGTGTTATAGAGCACAGCGCAAGCACGTCGAGTCTAGCACAGGAAACAAGTAATGATTTTCATTCGACCGCTTGCGTCCCTTTTGCAGTTTCGTAAAGGCAAATCTGATGGTCTTAGTCCGCAATCTTGCAATGACCCTCCTTTTTCTAGTCGCATAAACCAATTGCCTTGAATGCTGGTTCTTGTGGGGAATCGTGGTTTTAATTGTTATGGATAAAACCTGGTTTTACTCGAAGGTTTCGTTTCCCTATCTGTCAATTTCGCCTTGCTTTGTCGAGTAGTATATTGAATGAAGGTTATTCACAGGTGTAGGGTACTTGGTTCAAGATGATTTAATGCATAGTTATCAGGTAGTCCCATAAATCTCATGGAAAAGTTGCCCACAAATAGCACTACTTAAATGAGGTCACTTGTTATGTTTTTAAATTATTTCAGGGTGTGTTGCAGAAAATGACTAGTACCAACGTCTTACAGCTTCTATTGGCCCTGGGTGCTGTGAGCGCCATAATCACATTTGGTGTTCAAAGAGTCGGTGATATAGAAACTGTGATCGACCGTTTGGGAAAAGCACGGCTTCTTCGCCTTCATCCGTAAGTCAAACTGGTAATTCTCAGTGTGATATCAATACAAAAATGTTGGGATAATTCTGGTGAAGTTTTAAAATAAACTAATGGATAGCTTTAAAAGACCTAGCACTTGCATGACAATAATAACAAATAACGCAATCTAAATTTGAAGTATGCATTACGTTTCGCAAAACTTCACATCTTTGACCTTACAACAAGAAGACATGAACTACGCCGCTTCAACTTTTAGCTTTTACATTTCAGAGGATAAGGGCTATTTTAGTTGGTGAAATGGAACGCTTAAGCAGAAACAGACCAAGTTGTTTGAAGTAATTTGCAAAACTTTTAAAACTAAATAACTACGAGCACATTGCGGATTTTACCCACATCTCTTCATATTGTCTTCAGCTTAACCAGTACTTACGAGGAAGAGTATACTTTCGTGAACATGCTTGCGGGCGGTTTATTCATGATGTTCAGTTACCTGGCCGTTACTCCCATAGGAGTCGGACAAATGGGTACCTGTCATTCTCGGCTAGCAATCAGAAGGTAACTGAAACCGTTTTCGCTGCATTTTAGGAACATTTACCTTAAAGGTACTCAGTAATTGTTCATTTGATTATGCATACTGGTCAAATGTTTCAAATTGTTTCAAATTGACTGGACGGAATTGCATCTATATAAGTAGGAATCCTGAAGAAAGTAGCAAATTAATAAATTCCAGAAATGCAACTATAACAATCAATGATTTCATCATATTGCTTTGCGTGAACTATACGGATAGACCAACTAACCCCCGGGATTACACCGGCTCATAAGCCAACACAAAAGGCTTGCCAGCAAGGCTGTCCCTGTGTCTTACGTGCTTTTAATTTCGTTTGAATGTGCTTCTTAAATAGATCCCTCCCCCAACCCACATCCTCAACACTATTTGGGCGTCAAAAATAATTAATATTCACTCATTCATAACTGAGAAGCTAGACTCTTTTATTGCATGAAATTTGGAGCAACAACATGTACATTAGCACAAGCACGTTCCGATCGAAGTAAGCCTTATGGATCCGAATTTGTTCGTTTTCAACGCTTAAACTACCACTGTGGATGTACTGGCAGTATCCGATTCCGTATTTGTCTGTCCCTGCGTCCTCTTTGGGAACAAGCACTGCACGCCTGCGTCTTCGGATGGACCATCGGTGGCCTGCGCTTCAATATCTGCAGTTCTATCCGCCCACCACATAACAAGTGTAAACCGAAAGGAATAAAACCGAGGCATGTGGATGGGTGCCAGGTTTCAGTGACAGACTCGGCCCACACTCCTTCAACACGAGCAGCAGTAGCATTCCTCTCTAAGTTACCTGCAGTACACCGACATACTGTACCGACGCTTCGCTACTACGCGATCACCACCGGTCGCGAGTGGACTGAGTTTACCGCGAGAACGCCCACCCGTAACCTGATTCGAAACGGTGACCCAAGGATCGTAAACCAGGCTTGCAATCCTTTCTTCCACCGGTCGACTATTCCTCTCTATCCGGGTAAGGAATCACGCGTACTAGACACACACAAGGCAGTTGCTGTGCCCTCTCCCGCTTCATACTGGATTGAACCAGTTTTTCAGCCTAGCAGGGTCACAAGGACCTAGCACCCCGTTCCTCCCAGAAAAGACTGGCAGTCTGATTCGTGGACTGTTTCAATAGAGTGATAATTTCAGCAGAAGACATCGGAAACAATAGGTAACGGATAAGCTTGTTCTCAGGGTTTCAACACCACATGAAAACAGATTAGAAGGGACATAAGATGGTTAAACACGGTGAGTCACTGAATCAAATTATGTAGTTGCGAAGACTACGCGATTGGCCTGCTTGATGTAAAGTCGAGTGAAGTGGTCTGACCGCCACTGTTGGTCATGCTGGCCTGTGACCACAGTAATGTGAAAGTTTGGACGAAATATTTCTGTGCACAAAGCTCCGGGTCATTGAGCGGAAAACCATCAACTCTGCTGTCAACAGAAGGCAACATATGACTGCTCGTGCATAACGTCCGGGTACACATTAGATTAGTATGTGTCATGTGAACTGCTTTGGTACTTGGAGAGCACTAGGTGCGACATCACTGCACTCGTTACTTTCTTCCCCATGCGATTATGAGCTGTGATCGCGAGCCTTAACGGGCAGTCGACTGGTTGTTTTTCCAATCTAAGTTGCTCGACACGAGCAAGTGAAGTTGTGCACACAGAAGGAGATCTACAACCGAGGCATTTGTTTTTGTGTTGCTGGCGCAAATAGGCAGCAAAATACAATCCCACTTTTGCGATGGATAGCCCTCGAGTGGTTGGTGCCGCCGTTACATCACCATTAAAGGGACTAAAAAACTGGCTTTGGCTTCGGTACCCGCGGTTTCACATGCTTCTGGATGATCTTTACTGGTATCCATAACGCTCAAGTACGCTTCCGGTAAAGCTCAGCTCATCCAAAGGCGTGTCTTCTTTACAAAGCTTTCTCGATCTCTTCATTGAGCAACGGATGCGAATTCCTTTCTGGCTTATCGGAACAAATCTAGTGAAGTGTATCTATTCTAAGTTCCCTTGCTGTGTACCCTCTTCATCATTAACCCCTCTGATGACCTACTGATTTGGAAATCTCTCGATTAGCAGTCTGATGGAGCCAGTAACCAAGGTGGAGAGTGTTAGACAGGTAGACGCCTTGCCAATATTCACATCAAGCGCAAGCACAACATTGTTATCAATCAACAGCTAACTGCTAAACTTCAGAAAAATCAACATTCACAAGTACAGGTCAACTGCAGTCATGATGTACGTACGTAACACATCGATTACATTCTTGGTCTGGGTGAGCAAGTTGAACTGGAAGCAGTGTACCCACAAAGCGCCGTGCTGATGGCGAGTACCCAATCCCCTGACTAACTACTTTTTCGTTATCTAACCCAAATGACTACGCAGACCAGACTAGCTTCACCGAAGCATCCGTAACCGCATATGTCACAGCATCATCCACTGGACCTCGATGGGTTGTACTCTATGGGCGCCTTTCGCTTCCTCAACCGACATTTCTCTTCCTTATGCTGCAATATTTTCTCTTGCACCTGCGCAACCACATTATTTTTGTGGGGGTGCTACTTGTTAGGATCCACTGCTATTGCCTCCCATCAGCTGAAATCAACGATAGTTTTGATAGACTCATACAGATCATGCCCCAGTGACATAGTTGTAGGTTGCCCGCGTTCCGCTTCCCTGTACCAAGTAGACCACATAGTAGATTTTTCGGTACCCTCGACAAATCCATGCAATGGACAAGTCAAGCCACCATAAGCGCCACAGCAGAATCATGCAGCCCACTGCATAGACGCCACTGTTGAGGAGCACCTTCATGTCGGCAACTTTATTACACCAACTGATGCCCAGAATCTGACGCAGACATTGTTGATGAAAACGCTGCAGACTTCTGAGGCCTTTCCAATAAGGTGTCTAGGTTTTGCTGCTACATAGAAGAAACGAAAACGCCGTAGACCGGTACACTATCAGCTTCGTACATACGGTCAGATGGTTTTTGCCCCACACTCGTTTCCTTAGCTTTCCTAATGAAGCCGCCGCCTTCGATACGCGCTAGCCCAGGTGGCCTGTCTTCCGCAGGTCAGTAGATATTCCCCTCTCAAGGTAGCAAAATTGGGAGGTTTCCAAAACGTCCTCAACGATGTGAATTTGCAGCAAGTCTATTGCTTCCATTTCAGGTGTAGGTTGAAAACGACAAACAGTCTTGCTTGTTTGATCGTAAGCCCAAATTTCTCCGCTGTCGAAGCGAGAGCTGAACTCATGCGTTTCAAATCATTCACTTTGTATGCAAACAACGCACAGTCGTCAGAAACCGATAACATACAGACGGTTGTCTCACATACTAGGGCTGTCGCCCCAAAAAGACGGTAAGACATACACTAATCTGTTGTAGCAGCCCGTGCAATGTAGGACAGTCAATACTGAACTGCTGTTTAAGGGACAGTAGTTCTTTTGCCAGATCCGCATTCTGTCTGCAGGTTATGTACAGGCAGCCCCAAATTAGTACGCGCCAGCGTCCCCAGCTGCTACAAGCTGGGTCCGTACACCGTCTTCAACCAATCAAAGAAATTCTTAAGTTGGTGGCGATCAGCATACTATTCCGTCTGCCTTACCTCTCCGTCTACCATACATTCTTGATGAAACAGTGCTCTTGAGTTATTCGGCGTTGCAGTTTGTGACAATCATTCGACGTATCGAAGTCGGCAGGATCTATATGCGCAGTGAATAATGCGCTAATGCGCTAATGGCCGCACATTTGCCATCAAACCAATCGGACAGCTTACTTTTTGTGCGCCAGATCGTTACCGCGACCGTAGCCGTCACCTCTTCACAGATGCGGTCACACAGGTCGTTAATTGAGGCAACATGTTAGGCAACGCCAAGGCGGGTGGCCATTACATTCACCAGTTCCGCTCGCTCCTCTCTAGTACCTAACGAACGAGTATTAAATCCGAGTCGATTTATAGCAACTGCGCAACGGGTAGATTTACGAAAATATATGTACAATTTGGTCCTCATCAACTTGTAATCAGCGCCATGCTCAGCTCCAAGAAATACACGTACCATGCTTAGTTCAGTCATGTCACGGTGGCGTACGATGTCATAGTCGATCAAGTGAGCGTGACCAAACCGTGAGCGCGACCAGGTAGCAAAATCACTCGCAACCATTGCAAACAGGGTGTTCGTGATCGTCAGACTGTGACTGACGCACAGTGAGAGCAGCTGGTCATCGGTCCCATTGACTGCGCCAATACCATACGGACCAAAGTCGCCTATGTCGCGGAATCATGCCCAACGCGTGAGCTTAAACCACCCAGTAGGAATATACGGGGTCTCTTCGGCTTTGACCGTACCAAGGAGGATAACTGTAAAACTGGTCCCTTGTGTTATCAGGGTAACACATGGTTGGACATTAGGTGCTAACCAAAGCGGCAGATTTACTGCCTGCAATTCGTAGTCGAAGAGTGACCGATCATGGGCTGATGCTTGTTGACTGTCCCACTAACTAACCATTTATGCGGTCGGATAATACAAACTCTACTCAATGCTCACGTGGTACTGTGGGGACTTCGCTAGCCCTGTAGAACATGCACCCATCGATAGCGTCAACGCAGGAATATCAATGCGGTAGACCGTGAGTTCCACTGCAACAAGTGCAGTGCATCTCTCGGGACACTCATTCGTGTTACGGGTAGAGAACTATGCGCACGTTCCAGCACCCGATGTTGAACACTTTGCTTTGGGGCAGGACAGTCGCACAGGTTGTGACTTGGATTAGAGGAATTGGGGGTTACTTGAAATAGGGACAACATATGTTTGTAAGAGGAAAAAGAAAAAAGTGAAACATCGCAGTAGCATGACATTATCTGTATGGATGTACCAGGTGGTTTGGTTTTAGTTTGGTGGACTGCGATGACGTCCACAACTGAACAGGAGAACGACTCGAATCCACAACGAAAGCCTTCGAGAAAATTTGCTCTGGA